TATCTTTATTTTTAAAAAAAATAATTTTATTTAATTTTTTTTTTAGTAAAATAATATTTTATTTATTATTAAATTAAAGTATACTAGAATAGTTAAATAATATAAAAAGTTAATTTAGATTATTTTTTATTTAATATAAAAAAATTAAAAAGATTAATTAAAATTTGAATAATTTTTATTAGAAGTAATTATTGATTTTTATAGTGAAATATAAATCTTTTTATATCAATTCATAAGTAAAACTATAATAAACTTTAATTATAATATTATTATTAATTTATAATTATTTTAAATATAATTAAAAAATAATTTTTCTTTATATTAAATTTATTAAAAAATAATTTCTTATATTAACTTTTATAATTAAAAGTAGTTTTATATTAAATATAAATTATAAACTTCATTTTATATAAAAATAAAAATTATTTTTTAATAAAATTATAAAGTTTAATATAATAAAATTAATATTTATTTTGTAATAAAAATTATTATATATAATTAAAAATTTAAGAGTAATAATAATAATTTTTTATTAAATAATTTTAAATAAATATAAATATAAAAAGTTTTTATATTTTTATTTTAAACTATAAATAAATAATATTTAATAATAATAAGATTAAACTTATATAATTTTTTAATAAAATAAATAATTATAATATTTTTGAATAATAAATAATACAAATAATATTATTATAAGATGAATAATTTATAAAAATTAAAAATAATAAAATATAATAGAAATATAAAATAACAAAATTATCTTAGCCAAATTATATTTTAGTCAAAATATTATTATTTAGCTAAAGTATTTTATTTATATATATCTTATTTTTCTAAATTACAAAGCTTGATGTGAATAACTTGAAAAGTAAATATTTTATGCTATTTTCCATTATATTAATAATCTATTATAAAAATGTGTATAATTAAAATTTTTTATAACTATTTTTGAAAATAAAATTGAATAAGTATAGAAGATTATAATAAATAGAATTATAAAATATATTTTAATTATAATAAAAATTCAAAAAATATAGTTATAAATAGATATTATTAGAGAAATTTATTTAATTTTATTTATTTGAATTACTTTTGTTTTTATTTGAAAAAATATAATTATATTAGAGATTTTGAATATAATATTAAAATTATTATTTTATAATATCTTTGCTTATCAATTACTTTGATATATTTTAAATAATCATGATGAATTAACATTTTATATATCAGAATAATATATTTAAAAATTAGATAAAAAACATATAGTATATATCGATATTATAAGTAATGAGAACTTTTATTTTATCGTTATTGTGTTCTTAAACAAGAAGATTTACTACGCATACATGGATCGAATAGTTTGATTATTTTCTTATTGATAATAATTTAAGATTAAGCGATTTCTTATGTATGTACATACGTAAATTGTTCAATTAAAGCAATTTTATTATATAAGATGTTAGTAAGCGGATTTTTTTTAAGCATAATTTTCCAGATTATATCATTTTACTATTTAAGTCACCAGACAATTTGAATAAGTGAACACCCGGATAAGTGAACTTTACTGTGTATCTATTAATCCAATTATGAGACATGTTTCCAGTAATATACCCTTAGCTATCTACGTAAGTTACAATGGATCTAAAACGACCATAAAAAATAATGTACAGCATTTTATACACACTACTTTTCTAAAATAAGAATGACAAATAAGCAACCAAGCAGAGACAACATAGTGATAATGGTTCCAATTACAATAGTTCCTCGACTTGCTGGGAATTTTCCGCGTGTCATAACACTTTGTGAACGAAAATATCGTATCAATCCAAAACTTAAAAATACTATTCCAAGCACTATGAATATTACGCCCAGTGGTTTGCCCATTTTTGCTTCATCGGGTTTAACATTCAGTCGAAATAATTGTGTTATAGCTATTTCAAATATTGTAACAATTAATAAACAATAATAGCAGTTTAAAAGTATAATAATAGTTGTAACACATACCAACACCGATACTAATAAATGCTAAAGAGGTTCTTAGCCACGCAAGAAATGTTCGTTCATTTGCTAAAAAGAAATTAAGGATTATAAATAAGATTAATGAATTGATATTCGAAATGAATAATAGGATTTTTACCCAAATGATCTCTTGCTACGCTTGCTTGATTCTCCAAATATAAAGTTGGATTCATTCTACTAAATTTTCTTTTAAACCAATCAGGAATAAAAGCTTTTTTAGTAGCAGGTAAAATTTTGTAATTTGATGTTGATGAGATAGACTGAGATGTTTCTGTTTCAGCCTCATTTTTCACTTGATACGGTGTTTGAAGAGAACGAAGCTGCGTTAAATGTGGTGAACTTGTAGTTGTAAGTGTTGACATTTTATTATCCTTTTTTTACGAAAAAAAGGTTATTGATTTTGTACGTCAAAATTTGGGGAGGCGATAAAAATGGTGGATCTATTTATGTTTAGTTTTTGTACAACTAGATGTATGATGTTGTATTCTCAATATTTTGTTCGCGTGTCGGAATTTCAAAGTATACCGATACAGTTAGTTCCCTGTCTACAGCACCTCACGTGATGTAATAAACACTTTATTTAGGGTCACGAAAATCTTAAACTGGGAAATGAAAGTACAGAATACGACATCATGAGTTCTGAACAAAGAAAATTCACAAAATAAATAGGTGGGATGATGAAATTGTGTTACACCCCCATTTACTGGATTGGATCATAAATTATATTAATTATATTCAATGAAATCACCTGATTTTTGTTAGCCAATAAACTCTTGATCTTTTACCTGACGTTAGTCAATAATTAAACTTATCAATTCAGCTTTTTATTTGGGAATGCAAATACGTGCTTTTGACAAGATTATTCAATTATATTACATGGTTTGATTAGTTTATTACTATTTAAATCATTTTCTGTAAAACCTGGGGGTGGCAGCAGTTTTCTTTCTTCTGTCATAAATCTGTTTACGCCTTCATTGGTGGTGTTAATGTTATTATGAGTGTAATTGTTACATGTATAATTTTCTTCCATATTTGACATTGTATGTTGAACATTCTGGGAATATATCGTGTTACCGGTAGAAGTAATAGTAACGAGATCAAAAGATATCGTAGAATCTCTATGATCAAGAATTTTTTGACGTAAAAAATTGTTAATAAGAACTAATCTACAAAGGTTTGGACTATTTTGTCTAGCGTTCACTTTCATTATTGATAAATTATAGATATAGCCAAGGTTGATTGCTCTCTTCGTTGAAGATAGTGAAGAAAATTGTGGTTTTTGATTAGGTATGAATTTGTTGGCATTGAATGATTTTCTTGTTGCTGTTGGCATCTTTATTTGGTTTAAAAACGTGTAGAATGTAATGTGAAAAAATTTAGTTCTTAACTTTTATTAAACTCGTCATTTTATAGTTTTTTTGATTTCTATTTTTAGCATGTTATTAATTTGTATGGGACAATCAATTGACTTATTTATTGTTCTACAAAATAATAACGATAATAATAAACCCGGATTCAGTCCTAAGAAAAGAAAGTCAACATTTATTCATACAATTTGTGTGATAAACATAATCACTGTAATAGTGATTACGTCTATTATCTAAATAAAAACCTCTTTCCGAAGAATTTGTTTTTAAATGAAAAAATCTTGCTTTTTTGCCTGAAATGCGTTCTCTATTCGATAAATGGACGTTTTATTTGTTGTAAATATAAATAGATGATTTAAATTCGTTGCTCCCATTCTCTTCTGGCTTTTATTTGTGATGCTTTAAAATGGACTTCAAATGTTTGGTTAAAATTTAGAAGTAATCTTTTTTTTTAGGAATGCATACACAGACTTTTTGATGCCAAGGGTATGTGAATTTTGTATGACTTGTATAAATTCGCTCGTTAAAATCAATTTATTCCATGATCAAGCCTTTTAAGGAGAGTACATGAAATGATGGTATTTCACTTATTGAATCAATATATATACTATGTTATATAATTTACATATTGCTCGAGAAATTTGATTATTCAGCATTTCTTAATTCAGCTTTTTTATCGCCAATTGCTGCTTCATTTTCAGGATCAATTTCTTCTCCAGTACGAGCTTTATGCATTTCGGCGAGTTTTTCTGCAGCGTGAACTCTACAATATCATATTTCATATCAAATTAAGCGAATATTTATTTATCAATATACTTTTATCCATACATACCGTGCCTCATGAGAAACGGTCGGATTATGTGCGATAGACTTGTAAGAACGCTCACTTCTTTCTTCGTGAGTATCAGCTCGAACAGGTTCAGCTTGAGATTGCGGAATTTCAGACATCTTTAGATACGAATAGGTTGTAAGTTTGTTTTTTTTTGATAAAGCGGTCAATGAGGAAGTTGTGTCTTTTTTATATCTTTTTTCGCATAGTGATTAACGATAGAAAAAAATAGATGGCGTAAAATTCCCATAATTCACAAAATATATCATATTTTGAAGTTAAATACTATGTCATCAAATGTTTATGACGTATAACGTTAACGCCGAACTATGATTTATCATTTGTAAGCGTAGTATAGATTCATTTCCAATTTAAAAGACAATTCAATTTTTAAAAATTCAAACTATAATTCAAATGCTATCCTTATTACGCATGAATAATATTATGATTTTTATATATATATCGCTTTTTGTTTGGAAACAAACTTTCTTTACCAGTGCGAGCTTTATGCATTTCGGCGAATTTTTCTGCACCGTGAACTCTATAATATTCATATGTTATATCAAAATAGATAAGCTAATATTTGGACATGTTTTATAAACACGTGTGAGAAACAGTCGGATTATGCGTGATAGATTTTGTAAGAAAGCTCATTTCTTTTCTTTCGTGAGGATTAGCTCGAATAGGTTCGGCTTGGGATTTTGGAATTTTCAAACATATTCAGAGATACATGTGCGTTTTTTGACAAGTGCAGATATATTTGGTTATTTTTACGTTAGTGGGTGAAGTTGGGTTTGTATCTTTTTTCGCATATGACTAATATCATAAAATATACGTAATAATAATACACAAAATAAATCATATTTTGGTCACTTTTGAATCATGCTATTAAAATTAGCCAGCAAAAACTCTCGTTTTTATGCTAACGCGAACTATGATTTTTAAAGATTCGTTTCATTTGGGAGATGAATAGCTTGGGTTAGGTTTAAATAAACAGTGATAGAAAATGCAAAGTCCGGGTTCCGCATAACTTGATTCTGGCTATGTCCTCACTCCACTCACATAAACGTCGATCCCAACCTTGTTCACCACAAGACAGCCTTGCACCTATGATCCTTCCATTTAATGACACCACAAGATTAAGTGCAGAAAATGATGACTTGGCGCATGGAAAATTTCGGGAAAAACTAATTTCAAAGGCGGAGCCAAGATTGCCGGGGAAGCATACACATGTAGTCGCTGTGGACGGATGTATCTGATGTTGGAAAAAAGATTTTCAATGAAAGTGGTGCGATCTATCTATAGATAGAGGCCCAGAGGATCTTTTTCTCCGAATCTAATGAGCAGACATTAAGATCTCATGAGGGGTTTTCATATGAATGCCATTGTTGTTGATATCGATTTCACTTATTTAGAGTTATGATGCTCACGATATAGGGGGTTCCTTAAAGCCAGACAAGACGTTTAGCCACACATCCGCCACGCATTTGATCTGCACGAAAATAGCCAATCAATACACTAGCTTTTAACGTGACTTTTTAAGGGAAATTCAAAACAATCCAATTTTTTCATCTGTTTTAGGATATTCTAGAGCTGTAACGGTGGAATACACAACTGCAGCATTAGTATCTGGCTTTCCATTTAATATCTCTGGACTCATATAAGGAAGTACAAATTTTTCTTTGGTCAGATTTTTTTATTTTTGTTTGAACACTAAGTCCAAATCAGTGACGTTACGCATTAATGATATCGATATACTTTCTAGATGAAAGTCACGATGAACAACAATTTTTCTGAGTGAATCCCAAGTCAATTCTTCGTAATTACAATTTACAAAGATTCGTTTGCTGGATTTTTAGTTATTCCATAATAATGAATTTTTGAAAAATTTGATCGAGAAAACAAAAAACAACTTTCATTTGAAAATGTTCATCTTTTACCTCCTGAATAAAACTCTCGATAAATTTGTTTTGAATTGAGTAATGATTTCAGCACAACTTTCTTTTCGTCGTTCAGATTCACTTTCTTTATGAATTCATTAGCATCCATTCAACCAGATTACTTTATAAATTGATCCAAATTCACCTTTTGCAAGATATTCAACATTGGTGAAATTTTTAAAAAGAAATTCATTTTAAATCTTTTATTATTTTTTTTTGTTTTGTTGCATCCATTTATCATATTGTGGATATTTTTTGTGTAAATTCGTTTGTGCTATTTCAAAAATTTCCAGCAGTCCTCATCGCTTCCCATTTATTACAATCATATTGTGAGAATGATGAGTATTTGATTCCATCTTTGAATTCACTTTAAAATGCAAAAAACGAGTCATTATAAGGTACATGTAACAAACATCAATGCTATGCTTAAATATATCGAACACATGAAATTTTGCATATATTCTCGCACCCATTATAATCTCTGCTTTTGAATCTAATCCTAAAGCATATTATAATCGAATGAAGCCAAAATGCCTACGCTCAAAATCCTGACTCATCCCGAAATACCAAACCCAAACACCCAATATCTTGACACTCACAAAATCCCGACTTCTCAACATCCTAAAATTCTCAAAAGCTAACATCCCAACGTAAAGAATATAAGGGTGAAATTTGTACTCATACCTTATGCTTCTATTTATTGGAAGGTTGGATATGTCAAAGTGTTGAGATGTGGTGTATCGTAATTTTTGGTTCGAACCAAATCACAAGATATGAATATTTCGATAATGGTATGATTTAGGGTTAGATTAAGAGTAGAGGTTATGATAAATGCGAGAGTATATGTAAAATTTCGCAAGGAACATTTTTTATAAAACACAAGATATGTATCTTGCTAATTTCCCGTTTTTTCATTATACAATTCGCAAGGAACAATTATTTTGCGATTTGATTGGTTTACCCCTTAAAAAGTCGCTAGAGTATGATTGGCTATTGTCAAATCATGTGTGGTGAATATGTGGCAATGTGTGACAGGTTATGCCGAATATATTGCTTAGAATAAGTGGCATAACCAATTGTAAGTGTCAATTAAACTGACTGTTCCAAAAATTTGTATGCTATTATTTTTCCTGATTTATATTATGAAATACTTATATAAAGATAATCTCAATAAAGAATTATATTTTGAAATCATTGTTTTATTATGATTTATTCTTTACTTTCTTCATGCTATTATCATTTTAAGATTATGCATATGTAATTATTTTAAAATGATAATAATAATTATATTTATGGCAATTGTTTATTTTTATAGCTTCAAGAGATTATATACTGATTATCTTCTTAATAAGATAATATATGCAAGAATTACTTCTGATAAAATATGATTATCTTCTCAATAAGATAATTTACATAAGTTTATTTCTAATCAAAATGCTCTCTCAATAGAGCAAGAAGAAAATAAGATAAGATATAAGATAAAATATGTATGTTTATTAAAGAAAAA